TGTTTATTTTACTCTGTGAAATAAATTGCGTGTGGTTCAGTTGTGCAGGGTCCAGTCAGCATAAACTGCATGCGTCACACAAACTGCTCATAGTGTGCTGGATCGTCAGAGCATTATGTAATCCAGCATGTCTGACCCTACCTCTCTCTCACCCCCTCCCCCGTCACCCCTTCCATGTTTATCTCCCAGATGAAGCAGTCTTTAGAAAAGCTCCACCGGGGCATCGTGGTCCCAGAGGTGCAGCAGGACCCCCCTGATGATATCCTCACAGAGTCTGGGACTGAGGCCTGAGTCCCCCCCACCCCTCCCCTGATTGTCTCCTAACTCTGAACACACCCTGGTAGAAAAGAGCGGCCTCTGCAACTTGGTTTTGCTCTTTCCCTAATTTTCCAAAATCGACAACCAGGAGTGGGACATGCAGGGGACTACATTACCCACAACTCTCCTCGCCTGACTGACTTGAAATGGCAACGTTTGCCTTCAGCCTCAACCAGTTACAACTTCAGTGAACTCATTCAGACTGGAAGCTATCAGGACCACAGCAATAATCTACCTACAGCTGCAAGTCATCTGTATGTACTGTATGGAAACAGGCCACTGGTGGGCCGATTCAGACCATCCACTCCTCAAGAGACATTTCAAAATGGCCAAACGTGTTTCAGAATAACTTTATTTCAGACCTCCTTAATTTTCACAAAAAAACAAAACAGAACCATTTTATGACTATCATAGACTTCAGTTTCTCTCCTGACATGCAACATTTCAAAGGTGCAATGGGAAGGGATCAGTGATTTCTGGAAAGTGGGAGTTCTTCCTCCTAGTCCTGGGAACATTTAGATACCTTTGCCTCTAGTTGAATGCCTGCTGATACAAAAAAAAGGGGGGGGGACACCACCTGCTGTGTGGATGTGACGAACACCCAGAAGGAGAGGGGAGAGCGCTGATAGGAGCACGGCGCCTCTCTCGCTCTTTCCGCGAGGGATGTGTTCTTCCATGTCCGATTTGAGCCCCCTCAAAGGCTGTCGGTCCTCTGTGAAAGGGGATGAGGAACATTTCAACATCAGACACTTTAATTTTCACCCTTAATTATAGATGTAATTTATACATCTGAAGAACTCTCAAACACCCTCCCACTCCTCCCAGTCCTGTCTGGGTTTTATCTTTTTTCAAAATCAGTGTGTTGGGTTGTTTGTTAGGACAGCAAGCTGCGTCTGACTGTTTCTCTGACTGTTACAGTATTTATTATCACCAATGACTTTTAAACTGAAGTCCTGTCCTGCTCTTAAGAAGTCATTTGGTGGGTATTTTGTGCTCTGATTTGCTGTTGCCGTGCGGACCAAGAGGAGCTACACGAGAAGGATTACTGTCACAGCAATAATGACAATAGTGATTCTAGTACTTTTTGAATGTTTCAAACAAAGTAGTATATAATATTAATAATAATAATGAGTTGTGTGTGAATGTGTGTAGAGGCAGTGAAAAAAAAACCAAGCAAAGAAGATTTTGACTTGACAGATGCGTGCGTGTGTTCATGAGGAGTCCTCAATGTTACATTTTTCATATTAGCGTTTCTTGAGTTCGTTTTTTGGATTTCACATTTGGTTGCTCACTCTTTGTATCACAGAGCCAGACCTTACCAGTTCAGGATTTAGACTTGGATCAGGTAGAAACCGAAGTATCAGAACTGCTACTTCGTTGTCCAACTGGGCTGGGCGTTTCAAGATGAAAGGACCAACCAGAATTTTGTAGGCCCAGGTGAAGAAAAAGGGAATCTGTTTTGCAGTATTTTTTTTTTTTTTTGTGTTTGTAATATGAATTTCATAATTTGACTCGCTTGTTTTTCTCTTTTTATTGTTGCTTGTTCTTTTTTTCATTTTCTATCTTTATTATTTTGTCATCTTTATTTGTTGTTTATTTTCAGCCAGTCCTCTCCGTCCACTCAGTTCTGTCCTCTGATGATTTAAAGCATCTCACCCATCTATACTCCCTCCTTTGTTTCCTTCTTCTTCTTCCCATCACTCAAGCCCACTCTTCCTCTCTTTCCTCTCCGTGCTCTCCCCCTTCACCCGCTCACTCTCTCTCTCTCTGTTTCACTGATAATAGCGGCTACAGAAGCATGTGGGCCATGCTGTGCATGGCCACCCGCGGATAACAAAAGGGTGTAATATTTATTTAGGGAGGGAGGTGGGGAGGGAGGGTCTGGGATAGATTGAGGGAGAGAGAGAGACGGATCAGGAGCGGGCATGAGAATGTACTGTAAAGATGTGATTGTACACCACGCCATGGAGAGAAATGAAAAGTTCTAAAACATGCAACAACTCCTCGCTCATCTTTGAGTCTGTGTGTTTTCACTTCACAAGGATCTGGTGTGCATTACGGTGGAACTATTATTATTGATTTATCTGTCTGTTATTTGGGCCAAAAAAGTATCCGTAAATGGTAAAACACCAATCACACAATATACCAAGGCCCAAGTTGACATTTAAATATGTTCTGTCTAAGTCTAAACCCCCAAATATTCAGTTTTATATTGTGTATATATATCATTTATTTAATCAGGTAAAAGACTCATTGAGTCAAATCTCTTTCTAAAGGTGCTTCAAAAGCAGCATAAACATTGTTAAACTCAAACAATAAATGATAAATGGACTACTTGAATTGCGCCTTTCTAATCTTCAGCAATCTCCAAAGCGCTTTACACTACCTGCCACTCAAAACAATTATGATGCATCATACAATATAAAGAAAAGCAAATTTAACATTTGTGAAGCTGGAGAAGGTTTTCTGTGTAAGAAATCACTCAGGTGACCAATTATCAATATAGTTTCATTGTTTCAGTTCTGGTTTCTCATCAGCATTACAGTGACAAGTTTAAGTGATGAAATATTGACAAACTAACACTTTTGGCTGTTTTTATTTATTGGCATTTGTGTCTATTCTTTTAGTCACTGAATGACACACAAAAGAAGCTCCAAAGGAGGGATGCTATTAATTATTATGTTCATCATTGATAACACTTGCTCAGTGTATGAAATGTTGTTCATCATTTACCAGTAGGCCAGGTGTGACAAGGAATATCGGTGTTTTATCCGAGTCCAAACCAGAAGCTATTCAGAATAACGTATCATATTACTATCATATACGATACAGATAAAAATGCAAGCGCACAGGATGTGATGAAATGGTTACCACTTGATTATCAAAATAGTTGCTGATTAGTTTTCTGTCGACTATTTCAGATCTCCAAAGTAAACTTTGTGCAGGTAAGATAAAGTAAAAAGCCTTTCCTTGATTAAATCAAGGACATTGCTTCACATTAGTTCACACAGCGATAAGAGAGCTGCTTCTGTAAATTAACTGTAATCTTATCTAAAGAGGAATTCTCTGTTCAAGATAATCCAGTCAAGAGCGCTGACTCAGGGACTAGTCTTGTTGATGTGTTTTTCTCAATCATCTTTCAACAAATTGAGGTAGTTTGTGTCTAGCAGGAAGGTCAGAGTGGCTATCTTCTAACCAGAAGTTTGAAGTTTGAACTCCTGGGGAAAATGTCACTAAACTCAAGCAGACATGCTGGGAAATACCGGGCCTGATGGGTGATACAGTACACATAGTGGGTTTATTAGAGGCATTTCATTCATTAATTCAATTTATTTTTTATATGCTTGAGAGATTATTGAGGGGCCCCCTTATTTACAATGACATCCAGTCAGCAACAACAAAATAAAATATAGATATAGAACAGCAATACCAGCAATAGCTAATAGAAAGGCTTAGAAAGTAGAGGTTGGGAAGTTTAAGATTACATTTATAAGATGTCCAAAAGGTAAAACTGTATTCATTTTAAGCTTTAAAAAAAAAAAAAAAAGAAATTAGATCTGCCTATTATCTGGCATTTTGAGATAATCAGCATCGGCCGATACCTGCGCTCGTGAGGCCGATAAACTTAATATCTGCTGGTTGTCAGTGTGGCTGCTGAGGAAACAATGTTAGCGCCCCTCCTTGTGAGTTTTGGGAAGTGAGTGAAATAGTCTAATGCATCCTGCTGTAAACCTAATTTTCCTCTCTAAATGTTTATCTAAAACCGTCACTGGCTAAATACTGAATATATATTAAGTTATTGTATACAAAGTAATGTAGTTGAATGACGTCTCTTCTGACGTACTGTACTCCCTTAAATGCCAATTCTGAAATGTACAGCAATGTATTTTTCTACTAATTCATAATAATTCCATCTAAAACAACATGTTAATGGCTAAGATGGCTAAATATATTAGATTGTAATGTGCATGGAATAATGGAAATGTATTACTTTTCCTTTGTTAGTTGTTGTTTGTTATATTGGCATTATATATCAATCATCGGCTGCCTTGCTCTCTAAATATCGACATCTGCCACTAAAAAACTCACATCGGTCAACCACTAGACATTAAGTCATGTCCCTTTTTAAGTTGGTTAAATAAAAAGTGTAGAGAAGGCTTTGTAAATCTTAAAATTTAGAAAAATACAAATTTACATGTTGTATTGACACTGCTGGTCTTTTAAAAATTGCCTCTTGCCGCTGCATATCAACCACCTACACATTAACCATTTTAAATAACAACAGATACATGGCTGATTCTCTCACATGGATTTTTATTTATTTCTTTGTATCACTTCCCTTTTCTTTTTGGCAAGCAACATTTCCACACCTACACGCGAACTACAGTTTTATCCGTTGCTGAAAGAAAACACGTGGACACAAAGCAGACCAACAATGTGGGGAGCAGTGTGGTTTTCATTTCACTGGTTGGTTCATCTGTGCACTAAAAGGCGTTTAGATGATGTAAACTGATGCATACCCAAAAAGTAAAGGAAACGGTGTATACAATTGCTTGAATGGCCTTTAAAGAAGATCTCGCTCGTTTAGTCTGTTTAATGATTTCACCAGTAAGCATGCAGTTATTCTGTATTAATTCATCAATACATGTGGCCCCCTTCTCAGTATCTCAAAATGTATCAAACTCACTCTTTTGGTACAAAAGAGATGAACAGTAAACATGCAGAATGGCAGTGTTTGCTTGCCATCTAGTGTTCACCAATAGTCAATAACTGGCTGTTTGGAAATAGAAGTACAGCTGCTACACTAAAGATTTGCAACAAGGCTTCAGCTCTTTCCTTTTGGTTTCCACTGGCTTCACGCTGGGAGGCACACTGGACAGGTTTTGTGGTACATTTGCCCATGGCAGTTAGATAATAGCAATTTGCCAAGCCCTTAAGTTTCTACAAAAACAGTAAGACATTTGTGTGAAATTACACATCAGTGGGAACGTTTCCACTGTACACAAATTAAGCTAAAATCATATAACTTTGGATAAACTGTTTTTGGTGCGATGCAAACTGGTCTGGTGAAATTGACTGAATCATCCTCTCATATTTCACAGGAAGTCACACTTCGGTGCCATTTTTACCCACAAATTAAGTGATACATTCTCTCAGCTCTAAAACTTGCACGCAGCTAAAATCAGCACTGAGCCTGCTGTCGTTTTGCTTTAGTTAAAATGGTATTCTTTAGCTTTAAATTGATAAATTTGACTTATTTATCAGATTTATGAGCTCTCAGGATCAAGGGAAAGGAAAACAGTAAAAACATTAATGTGTTTTGTCTGAGAATTAAAGATAAAACAGGATCTCATCTCAGTTGGTTCCCCAGTTCATTATGAAATATTAAAAACACATTTTTTCTATAATTTAAAGCTACACCTTACAGTGCCTAATGACTGCATGTACCTTTGTTTGAGAGCTAGTAACCCAAACTCAAGAGAGTACTTCTCCAGTGACTAACTAAACATTTAGCAAGTTCACATTAAATGCAGATAACATTTCTCTTGGTGAGCAGATGTTTGAGTGCGTCATCCTGAAGTAAAACATAAGAGAGATGGGCGATCACGTTCCAGTTGTTGTGTTTAAACCTGCAGATATAACTACATACAGTGACTTTCAGCTGATATGTGACATTCATGAATCACCTACGCTCCAATATTAAAAAAAATAGATAAAAGGTTTGGATGTTTTCTCCATCAGGGTTGGGCCATTGATAGTGGTTTGCCAATTTATTTATCAGCCTGTTAGGCGGACACCACTGATACGGTGGACCTGCAATTATGTTTTTTTTCCATTTATTGAGTGTATTTTGTTCTAAATGCTATTGTCTTTCTTTTACTGGCTGGTTTTAATGAAATTCTGCAGAAAAATACCAAATACTTGTAATTTTTTGGCATTAAAACTGGACAAAATGAATATCAGGCCAAATATCAGCTTTTGTAGCAGTGTTTTTCTTAGAAAATTAGCAGTTTAATTTAGTCTCACTATTAAAAAGTAAAACAAATCTTTTAAAAATCTTTTTGTTTTTTGTTATTAAAGTGTTTTGATTTATCATTAAAAATACATTTTAATTGCACCACAGCTTCATGAACCTACCAGGAAACACTGACATATGTTCGGTTGAAAATTGCCTTTATAAAACCTGCATCGGTCAAACCCTGATGCCAACACGGCGTGAAATGAAATATGACATAACTAATTCAAAACTCATCAGAAGCATGATGTTGATTGTTGATAAGCTTGTAAGCATGCAGATATACAATGCAGGCCTATAATATACTCTACATGTGTTTAAAGATAATCTGCGCTTACTTATACACCTATATACACTACAACTGTCCCTCTCGGTCTCTCCCCCTCTGTCCTGTTGGACCACAACCGGATGCATCCCCCGTGTCCCTCAGAACTGGATACAGTTCAGTCCTTTCCATCCTTTTGCAGAAAGTCACTTAAAAAATCTTTTCATGAAGATCTTTGTCCTCTCTGTGGTTCCATGTGGAGAGGATGGCGGGAGATGGGTGACGGCGAGAGGAAAGGGCATGAGAGTGGATGTGAGATTCCTCAAGGAAGCCTTGAGTGCTTCCTTGACCTGAAACATAAAATTTCAAACTGTCAAGAAAATGAATGAATCAACTGACTCAAAAAACTTTGAGAGCTTGTAGAGAACACAATGCTCTAATTTCTACGTATCTTGAATCTAAATAAATTAAAATAGGGGA